AAAAAAATAACAATTCCCAGGGAAAAACAAGAGAGTATAATGAAAACAGGAAAGACAAAACTGTTGTTTCTAGTAAGTACTGACAAAATGCTAATACTTCAAACTAATAATGGCAGTATCTCATAGGATGTGATATACACATTGATTTAAAATACATGTCAAAAGAATACAAAAAGAGGCAGGAGGGGCAAATGAGCTAAATTCCAGCATTTCAAGAAAATAATAAACACAATACTTTTTAGATTTTAACTTTTCAGGGATAATTGCAACAGCTAATAGTTACCTAAAGAGCAATAAAATAAAGCCAAACATGGTGGAACACACCTATAATCCCATCTACTCCAGAGGCAGAGACAGGAGGATGCCAGTCTGAGACCAATTCAGGCAAAATAGTTACTGAGATCCTATCTCATAACGAGGCAGTCATGGTTAGTCACACCTGTATTCCATTTGGGAGTTGAAGGTAGGAGGACTGAAGTTCAGCCCAAGTCAAACTGCAAGACCCTTTCTGATAAACAAACTAACAGGAAAAGGAATGAGGGTGTGGTTCAAGTGGTAGAGTGTCTGCCTAGCAGGTGGGAAGCCTTGAGTTCAATCCTAGTACCATACAAAAAATGAACTGAAAAAATAACAACAATAAAATTAAGTTAATGGAGATGAAAACATAATAGAATTATTTTAATATTCCCAAAGAACAAAGGAAGAAAACACAATATGAAGCAAATGAAACCAAATAAGAAACAATTATTAAGATGAGAAATATAAACCAAACCAGTAAATTCATTAAATGTAAAAAGACTCAAAAATGCAATCAGGCGACTATCATTGTCAGTCTAGATTTTAAAAACAACTACATGATGCTTTCAAGAGACACACCTTACGTGTAGTCATAGAAAGTGAAAATAAAAGAGAAAGAAAAGCAGTTGCTACAGTAACACCATACACAATGATTTAGGAATTAAGCTCACAGGAACATACTACAATATGTCTGTATGCATGCAATAAAAACAGCCTTAATAATACAATAAAAATAATCTTAACATATACATGTAAAAATTAGGGGGAAAAACAGGGAGAAATAGGCAAATGTAATAGTTATCCCTGAGCTAGTTTTCCTTTCATGTTTTCAGTTGCCCATGGTCAACTATGATCAAAATATACCAAATGGAATTCAAGTTTCAAATTACATGCCATACTGCATTGTACAATGAAGTCTTGTGCCACACCATCCCTCCTGGGACATTAATCATCTCATTGTCTAGCGTATCCACATTTTATATGCTATCTATCCAATAGTGTGTAGTAGCCAACTGAGTTACTAGACTATGTCACAGAAGGCAGGGGTTGTGTTCAAGTAATCCATATTTTACATAGTCACAGCCCCAATGTACAAGAGCAGTCATGTTGACAATTCAGACATGCCACAGATAAAGTATATCCTCTAAGTAAAAAAGTAACAAGGAAAGAAAATCATACGACTAAGTCACTAAGATCCACAGTAAAGAATAAATTTTTCATCTATTAATTTGTTCTATTTTACTATTAGTAATTAGTATTGTTTATAAATTAAACTTACAGTAAATGTTACATACATATGTATGTAAGGGATAATAAATGACTATTTGGCTCAATTCTATCCCTGGTTTAAGTATTCCTTAGGAGGTCCTGAAATATACCCATCATGGATAAGGAGGGACTACTACATACAATCACATTTCTTTCGTCAGCCAATAGAATAGAAAAAATTCTTACTAAGAATATTAAAAAGTTGAATGACATAATTATGATCTTATCCCTGTGATATGTATAGATAATCTGTGGCAATACATACATTCCTCAGAATAATATGCTGGGTTATAATGTAGACCTCAGCAAATCAAGAAAATGAAGCAAATGAGCAAAGCCAGTCTCAGCCTAGATATCAACAAGAAAAACATTTACGCAATGTCTCATCTGCTTATAAATTAATCACACACTTCAAAATAGCCCTAGTGATGAACCTGTTTAGTAGCAAAAATATTAGAAAATATTTTGAACAAAATGGCAAAGAAAATTTAATTCATTAATGTGAAGCTCAATTAAAGCAAAAAGGAGAAAATAGTCTTAAATGTGTATTTTTTAAAATGAGACTTCAAATTTATGACCTAACAGTCCACTTCAATAAACTAGAAAAAGAACAGCAAATTGATCTCAAAGGAAGAAAAGTAATTAATGCTAATAAGATGACTTGAACTTCAAAGAAAATTAGCAAAGACAAAATTGGTTCTTCAATGAGGGGAATAAAATTGATACACATACACCACACAATTACAATGACCGAGATAGGAAAAGTCTTTATAGATGCCAAAAAGAAATAAAATTTTTATTATAAAATTGTAGACCAATGTTGTATAGAATTTTAAGTGAATTGAACAAATTTCTTGGAGAATACAACTTATGAAACAAATAGGATAAGTTCCTCTATTAAATCTAAATGTTACTAAATCCTTGCCAAAATGTACTAAGGAAGAACAACAGAGTGAGAGAGATAAAGAGAGGAACTGACATTAAACAATGGTTTAAGAAAATTAGTGGAGAAAGATAGGTTTTCTCAACATATAGGGTACTGGAAATACTGAGCATTCATATGGAAAAAGAAAAAGGCTTACCTTATACCATATACAATATTTACACCTAAATGTAAAGAGCTAAAAGTATAAAACTTATAAAACAAATATAAAAGAAACTTTTTTGTTAACTTGGGCAAAAACTTTTACATAGGACACAAAACATACAAATAATTTTTAGAAGAAATTGATTTTTTTAAGTATGTCATCAAAATGTAGCATACTTGTTCTTTAAAGGTTAAGAAAATGAAAAGAAGTAGAAGTATGGCTCAAATGGTAGAGTGCCACCCTTGAGTGAAAAAGCCAAGCAAGAATCAAAGTCCCTGAGTTCTAGCCCCAGAAGAAAGAAAAGAAAGAAAGAGGAAAAGAAAAAATAACATAGGAAATAAAAAAGGTCACAGATTGGGAGAAAATGTTCGTAAGATGCATAGCACATGAAAAACTTGCATCATATGTAATAAAAACAAACAACAATAAAAAAAAGACAACACAAATTTTAAATGGGCAAAAGGTTTGAACAGACCGCTTAAGCGTATTTGAAAATGCTCAGTATTTAGTGTCATCAGTTACCAGAGAAATCAGAACTACAATTAGATACCGCTCTGTTGCTACGAAGGGAGTAATTAATAAAAAGTAGTTAACAGAGGAAATGAACAGCAATTTCAAGTAAGGATGCACAACAACTGGGGTTCTCATCATTGTTGACAGGAATGTAAAATGGCAGCGCTATTGGGAAACGTTGGGCAATTTCTTAAGAGAACTGAACATACACTATCACACAGCTCAGCACCCCCACTCCCAGATATTCGTCCAGGACAAAAGAAAACACTTAGCGCGCGCTGGTGGCTCGCGCCTGTAATCCTGCAACTCAGGAGGCTGAGATCTGAGGATGGAGAGTCAAAGCCAGTTTAGGCAAGGAAGTCTGTAGGACTCATCTCCAATTGACGACCAAAACTCGGCAAGTGGAGCGGAAGTGGTAGGAAGTAACTCAGGTGGTGGAGCGTTCTGGCACGTGCGCACACACGCACACACACATATGATTCCATTTACACACACACACACCCATCTCTTCATGCTGCCTGAAGTATCACTTTAGCAGGGCGTCAAGACGTGCTGGACGGGTGGAGAAATCACTGCAGAGAGGACAACGCGCACCACACAGACTCCCACAAGATGAAAGGCCACGCGGCACCCAGGAGCCCGAATCCACCGCAACGCCGGCCAAAGGGACCCCACCCAGGACTCCAAGGACAGGTGAACGACTGGGCCGCAGAAAGGCGTGAGGCGCCCCAGCCTTCTCCCAGAAATCAACCCCCTCCGACCCGCGGGCGGCCCCG